GGGGTATTAAAATCCCATTGATTTCACCCATTAATCTTTATTGGTTCTCTAGATAACCATTAGTTAGCAATTAACTGAGTAGGCAGCATTTGCCCATAGATTCCAAATATTTTCCTCTTTTTTTGGAATTTATAGAGTTGGAGTTGAAGATGGAGTTCCGTTGGTTATACCCTTTGCAAAGAATATTTGGAGTAACACTTAAATACAACTTCAAAAGTGAAAATGAGTAAGAAAATATGTTGTAAGTTGTTTTTCAAATTTGAAATACAATTTTAGAATTTGGAATTTTCATGGTCAGAAACTGATTTTCAAATAAAGTGAAAAATTATTCTGGAAAAATGAATAATTTTATGGCCAGAGGGGTCCCGAGTCTCTTTTTAACCACCAAAGTATTGCATGATCAATCATTGCAAATCCTATCTGAAAAATAGAAACTTGAGCATTCTAAGCATCACAAAGTCACAAAAAGATAAGAAACAATCAGTCAGAAAATATGTCAACACTTGAATAACCTCCAACAATTGTGCATAGTGGTGTCAAATCTACTTACACAACACCGTCAACAGTCAAGGAAGTTTCAGCAATATTTGTAGAAACAATAAACCGCCTACAATTTGGAGGTGGAGGACTGAAAACACGCACCTGTCCATCAACAGAAAATATTAAAAGGAGAAATGCTCAATACATAATTGTGACGAGAGAACAAAAGCAAAATACTGACAAATGCATATAGAATTTACAAGAGCAATAATAATGCAGCTACCGGAATTCAGCTTGGTAAACCACTTGTGGCTGAAGAAAAAGGAGGAGAAAACACTCATCTGAAGTTTTATCAAGAAGACGATCAATCAAATACATTATATGTTCTCTAAGCAAGTTCAACTCAACCACATATTCCACTTATGTTGTGTAGTCGCTATATAAACTATGCCACAACAACTATGAAAACCAAATTATTTATCACATATTTCAACAACAAAAAACTTCTTGTTGTCAATTGCATTTATCATTTTTCCTTACAAAAACTTATTTGCTGTCAACTGGTCATCAAATGGAGCGACTCAATCACAACTAAAAATGAAACAAACATGAAAACATTCCAGCACAGACAACTGCCACTATCCATTCTCGAAGCCAGATAGGACTATGACACACTAGTTCACCTTCAGTAAATTACTAAGTTTAAATACGAAATCTCTTGGGCACTCAGAAGGGTCAAGTCAAACACAACAGTAGATCATCTGAACTAACTAGATCAAGAAAATTCAGGCTGTCAGGGCAAGGAATTTAAGAAGGAAAACAACTTGCCTGCATCTCAGGTGGTAAGGATCCATGAAGAGGAAGGATTAAGGCATCCATACAAGAACCTTCTTCTAAACTTTGAACTCTCTCCTCCAACTTCAGTACCAACTTCTCTATGTCATCCTAAAATAAGATTCTCAATTTCACTTTCCAGGAAATAGTACATCTTCAACCATTTACTTTTTAGTGGAAGATACAGAAGGACAGCACTATATAGAAAAAGTATCAGACAGGAAATACATCCATAAAAACTCACCTGCCCTGTCAAAAATATTAAAATGTCCCCTTCTGGCTCCCGTACGTGAATATCTGTGCACCCAAATGAATTATCAGACCAAATTCAGAAAGGCAAGAAATTTTACACAGAAAAGGGAAGGTAAACATTTCAGATTTAAGTAAGAACAAGAAAGAAATGAAAGAACAAAATCAAGATTCAAACTTATAAAACAAACCGAAGATGCCATAGTTTTCATACCAATAGCTTTTCTTAAAGAAGCTTCGACATAGCTTTTAGGAGGCTCTGAGATGTGTACTATTTCCACGGGAAATAACTCTCCTGGTACAGTAAGGACGGGGCAGTCAGAGAAGAACCTAGATACCTTTCCACCATCAAGAGTTGCTGACGTGATCAAGACTTTCAAGTTTGAGTGACGCCATTTGATTAATCTTTTCATTAGACCTAGCAATATATCCCTGTGATTATTCCATAAGGAAAAATTCATCAACAGAGATGGGCAACACCATCTAAGCATAAACAATAGACGAAAGACTACGAAAATATAACAGTTGGATAGATCTCTAAGATGTCAAAATGAGATTAACACATAGAAGGGCATGGAAAGTGGATCTAACGTGTTCAAACTCCTCTCATGTGCTTCATCCAATATGATGACGGAATACTGATTCAGCTCCGGATTGAAAAGACTCTCACGAAGGAGCACTCCATCAGTAAGATACCTGCAGTTTGAATAATCTTCCAGTTAAATGTCTGAAAACCAATCAAGGAACAAAATAAATAGAAAGTGTCAATGGTAGTAATAGGTATTAATGATAATTCAGAACCACAAAAATACTTGATACGTGTTTTTTCCGAAGTTCTATCTTCAAATCTTATGGCATATCCGACTTCCTCTCCAATTCGAACATTTTGCTCTTGTGCAACTCGTCTGTCCATGAAAAGTTGAAGGAATTTATCAAAGAACGAACCGGAAAAAAGATTAAAATTTTCGAAGTATGAAGCAAAATAGGAGAACACCAAAATGTTGGTCTAACTACAGCACAAAGCAAATATATAAAACAGATGTTGAATAGCACTTTTTCAAGCTTCTATACCTATCAACAAGAGAGGATTCCGGTCAAGGCTAATGTGGCAATTTCCTTGACTGGTTTTCCAAACACTAACAAAAATTGTACTTATACAACTAAGTGTTTTTCCTCATTTACCCTTACCCAATTAAGCACTCTCAAACTTCTGAAGTCATGTAAAGGGTGTCAAATTTTCCTCATCTAACATAAAGAAAGTCCCTACTAATACATACTAAACACTTGCAATCATAATCCTCAATAACTCTCTTGTTTAAAGGAACCAAAAATCTCAGATTAGCTTAATTTTTACTATTATATGACCCTGTTTCCCCTTCTCCCATCTCCATTGAAATGTCTTCTGTTTAGCGATTTCCTTCAGCAAATGATAACCTAGTCAGTCTCATCGTTCTGAGATTCATTACCCAATTCATCTTATCCTCACGCATAAAGACAAGCCAAACAATGTCACATCCCGTTCCATAAATGAGAAATAAATTAATGAAATTCTTGATCAATAATTTGGAAATCAAATGTCAAATCCAAGCATGGACAAAACTAGTGAATGATACAATCTTATTTCCAGGAAATTATGAAGCACAATCAGTTCGAAAAAATCCAGCCAAGTTCAGGGAGTTCACTTCCAAGAGGTCTAAGTTGATGACAATAATTCTAAACAGAAGTTCAGGAACAACAATGTGATATTTATGTATTCAATGAAATGAAATTATGTTGCAAGCATAGAAATATACAGGTTATAGCTCATCCCTGGACTAACTAACAAGTGCTTGTAACTAACTCTTTTTTTTCTTGGACAACCGTGGTGTTAGGGCCAGCTATAACTAGCTCCGTTAACTACTCTAACTAACCCTGAGACATCGGTATAGCTTCCACAACTTGCCCAACTGTACTAACTACTTCTGCAACTTTGAACTGAGTTTTGCATAGATATGCATAAGCAAATAGGGAAAAAACTAACTTTTCTGGTTATATAGGTGAATGAACCGAGGTTCATTCACTTCTTGACTCAAATTTCATTGTCCCGCACGCATACAATGAAAATTTTGAACTCAAACAAATAAATGGATAAGTAAACGACAATTGGGGTAGTTGTGAGATATAATTGAGCAGAAAAAAGTAGTATAATGTGAAGGATTACCTAGAAACAGAAACAGCAGCAACACGACGAGGCTGAGTAACAGCGATGATTCCAGATTTAGCATAACCCCTTCGGTAAAGTATTTGTGGAAGTTGTGTACTTTTACCAGAACCAGTCTCACCAATAACAACTACTACTGGGTTTTCCTTCACTGTTTCTACGATTTTCTCCTCAAATCGTACTATAGGTAAATCCCCCATTGATTGATTCAAACCCTCACTTTACACCACTTCTCTATTCTTTGGAAACCCAAACTTTGTTCCTCCCAAACTTGCACTTTGTTGGGAAGGTTGTTGCTACTTTTTTTTCTTTTCTATGGAGAATGGCGGGCTTGTTTGGATTGGCTTTATATGTTAGGATTTCTAACTTTTAACTTTTGACTTATTTTTATTATTTTAATTTTAAAATAAGTGCTTATAAGAATTTTTTAACTTTATTCAAATACTTCAAAATTGCTTAAAAAATATTTTTGTTTAAAAGCACTTAAAATAAGTCAATCTAAACGGGCACTATTTTTGTTATTTTGACTTTAAAATAAGTATTTATAAGTATTTTTTAACTTTATTCAAACACTTCAAAACTGCTTCAAAACTATTTTGGTTTAAAAGTACCTAAAATAAATCAATCCAAGCATACACTTAAAACTTGGAAAAATGAGCTAAAAGTGACTTATAGGTTTCTAATTTAAAAAAAAGGACAAATGGGCCCCATTACTTTTTCTCTCCTATTTTTATTTTTAATATCAATAAAAAGACTCAACTAGTAACATCTTTGGTAGTTGTCAGACGACTATAGAAGTTGTCCCCCAACTACGACAGTTGTTGGACTAAAATGTAAAAGTTAAAAATTTAGGACTATTGTGAAAACATATTTTAATCTAATTAATACTATTTGTCACTTCTACCTAAATTTTAAGACTTGAAGGATTTCTTAATTGACTAACTAGTTTGTCCCTTTTAATAGACCTTCCTGCTAAAACCATCCTTCAACTATTTGGAATAGATTAAATTATATTTTGGCTAAAAAATACCCTTCTCGTCTTATTATAGGATCACATGTATCCTTTTATTTAACGGAATGAAATGTGGCATACCATGTGTGTATTATATTGCCACACCCATTAGAAGACCCAACATTTCTATTAATCTTAATTTCATTCCTTTTCCTCATTTTATCCATTTTTCGTAATTTGACTCAAGCATTTTTTTAAAAAAAATTAGTCAAATACAAATTACTTATCACAAGCACTTTTTGTCAAACATAAATTGTTATTAATTTTTTTTTTCTAAAAAGCTATTTTAAGAAAATGCTTCTAAAAATAAACATATTTTAGTAGCCAAAGAAAGACCAATAATCTCTCCAAGTATGAAATACATGTTTAGTAATGTAAGAAAACAAGATGTTGGTTGAGAATAGTTTTACTAAAAAAATTCTCCTCTAACTAGGACTAGCATATTTAGGTTCAAATCGAAAAATTCTGACCAAACTAATTTTTTTTTAATTTCGCTTTGATTGGTTTCAGTTTTGAATTTTCAAATTTCAGCTATTCGGTTCGATTTTTAATTTTTAAATTATATATTTCGGTTGAACGAAAAATTAAATTTTTTAATACATTATAATTTTATCAATTTTATATACTAGGTCACCAGCCCACCACAACCATAGTCCAAATTTATATACCCAACCTCACATCAATACACGCTCATTTGGCTATTTTGTCTTTGAGTAGAATTTATACTTGTCTTGAGGGTAAACTTATAATCTTTAAATTTTTATTTTCTATTTGGTAGATGATGAACAAGTCTCAAAGTAAGGTACTTACATTGAAAAACATGCTTGATCTCATAAAATCTACACTCGCAGTGCTATTGGAAAAAAAATAGATTAGGAAATCCATGTTTCAAATCAAAAACCTAACCTAAATAGACCGAATCGAAATTACAAAAAATCGAACTGAATCGAATTTATTTAAGTTTAATTTTGGTTAAGATTTTCACCAAATCAAAAATCGAAAAATCAAACCCAACCTATCGAATGTCCAGCAATATATGTAAGTAAAACTCAGGGGACAAGCATGTTTGGAAACACTTTATACTATTACAAAAAAAAAACACTTTATACATCACACTTGGCTCTTATAATGTTTAAAAAATTACATAAATATTATTAATGAAAAAATGATAAATATACCCCAAACTATTGTAAATGGTAGCTAAATATCAGATATGAATGTTCTTACTGTCTAATTTTTGGGGTGTATATACCCTTTAAATAATGTAATTAAACATGTCTCTATCTTAAAGGTCTACTCAAAATTTATTTGATTTTTACCCATAATTAAAAAACCCATCCAGCTAATTAAAAATTAACACTTAGTTTATTTGATTTTTACACATTTCTCAATATCTTATTGTCCCCTTAAGTATATCTTGAGCAGGTTTGATAATTTAAGTTTGTAAAAAATAACACTTTTGAACTCTGTCAAATATTCATCAAACTCTTATTGTGAAATTTAATCTAAATTGTCACTAAAAAGAATTAACCACAGACACAAGAATTTTTTGTCAAAATCTCAAAATCGCACCATGAAGAATTGCAGCAAACACAACAAAAAGTTCAATAAAATAACAAAATTTATACCTCACAAAGTTACAGTAAACTCTAAAATAGACCAAAATAACATAAACTGGTAAAAATTATACCTCTAAATGTGAGTTTTCATTAAATATTTTCAAATTTCACTGTTTCAATTTTTCATAAAAGATAATTGAAACCCCATTAACAAATTCGAGCAATCGAGTAAAGTCAAATCCATAAATAAATCTAAATACATTATATATATAAATACCCTAAGGAAAAATTAATTTATAATCGAATAAAAACACATGTCAAGAAAAAAATGCAAATTAGAGATCATTGCAATATTCAACTATCGATAGAATTTTGTGTATTGAATCTATTTTTGATTATGGAAAATAATGAATCTCTAGCGTTCTCATCCCTTAGTCTCTCTCTCAATCTTCTAAGCGTTTAATGTCCCTTTTTTTTTTAGTTTTATAAGAGTGTTTTTTTTCTTTTAATGAAAAACAATTACATAAATGGAGGGGTAGAAACTTTGTTGGAATGAATACAAAGTTGTTCTCATCATGTCACAACTCAAAAATGGGTGTGATATCACTCATCTTATCCCATCAAAACGAGTTAGCCTAAAACCGAAAACATAACGATATATGTGGAAATAAAACAAGTCTATAAGTCTAACACTATAATATAATGCAGAAATCGTATTCAACTTAAACAAACTCACAAAACCTGATTGCCACATCACACATGTACAAGCAGAGGCGTATTTAGGATTTCGGTTAAATGGGTGCACGATTACAAAAAAATGTATCTTAAATATAAATTTGATCATTTGACTTTTAGGTTCTAAATATGAACCATTAAATTTTAAAAACTATAGATCAAAATATATAATACTATTAGTTTTGAATTTTAATATACACAATTGATTTAATTATATAAAAAATTTACAGTGCTTAATTTTTTAGGAATTTTCAATGTAAGACACTTGAAAATTTTGAAAGATTAAAGGAAAAAAACAAAAGCAATGTAAGACACTTGAAAATTTTGAAAGATTAAAGGCAAAAATACAAAAGAAAAATTAGTTGAAACGTCATAAGTGTCACCGATAACCACTTGGAGTGGTGTTACTCAAAAAGGCAAGATAAATATAAGATTTAAATTTCTATCCTCAGTTAGAGAGGTGCACCTAATCATCATCGTATTATTATATGATACTTTGAACATGGGTTCACACATCTATATTTAAATATTTTTTTAAAAAATATAACACTACTATTTATGATTTCAGGAGGGGAGCATGGGTTCACGTGAACCTGGTGAACCCCTATTAAATTTTAAAAACTATAGATTCAAAATATATAATACTATTAGTTTTAAATTTTAATATACACAATTGATTTAATTATATAAAAAATTTACAGTGCTTAATTTTTTAGGAATTTTCAATGTAAGACACTTGAAAATTTTGAAAGATTAAAGGCAAAAATACAAAAGAAAAATTAGTTGAAACGTCATAAGTGTCACCGATAACCACTTGGAGTGGTGTTACTCAAAAAGGCAAGATAAATATAAGATTTAAATTTCTATCCTCAGTTAGAGAGGTGCACCTAATCATCATCGTATTATTATATGATACTTTGAACATGGGTTCACACATCTATATTTAAATATTTTAAAAAAAATATAACACTACTATATATGATCTAGAGAGGGGAGCATGGGTTCACGTGAACCCACGACACCCCCTCTAGATACGCCTCTGTGTACAAGCCTCTAATGTATTACAATAGAATGTAGAAAATACAAGTCTCAATGTCATTATTTCTCGAGTAGAACAAGAACATAATAAAGGAACAAGAGGGCCTGCTGGAATGGTATGCAACTACCTCTCAAGTCTCCATAGTAAAGCCTCAGACAAGATATAGAGGAAGGATAATCACGAGGATCCGGGCTCGTAACCTACACACGTATAGAAGCAAGGGGTGAGTACTAAACAACACAGTACTTATCAAGTACATAACTGACTTAAAGTAAAACATTATTGAACACAAGTACTCCAACCATTCCATCTGAACCTCCATAACTACGACCTGCAATAATCAAACAACCCAACCTAAAAAACTCTCAATCCACATAACAAAGTACATAAGGAATAACTCAAGTTGCACCTCAGCACAAATAATCCATCATCATAGTATTCCACCATCAAGATTCTCAACAACATACAAATAAATACACAATTAAATGAAGTGTGATGCAATGATGTGCAATGTCATATAGAGTGATGCATGTTTGTCCTAACGATATACACCCATTGTCCTGAGTCCGGGATCCATGGGGAACTTCTTAGTCCATGCATATACCATGGGCATGTGACCCGATCCCAATTTCATTTCAATGAATTCGCCATGGACATGTGGCCTGTTCCCTATTTCCACTCAATGAATCTGCCACGGATGTGTGGCCTGTTTCCTATTTCCTCTCATCCTCACCAATATCATCACAACAGTGGTACAACATCAATGCAAGCATAACAGTGCAACGATCAAGTATGAGGATGATAATTCAACACTAATATCCAACAACAATTAATCAAAACATATCATGAAGTGAATCATCTCATACGACCAATTTTCCACAACATAATCAAGTCACATAAAAATCAATGAGATTCTTTTTCTAACCCTAGTTATTTAGCAAATTCACATCATCAA